CTGGAGCAAATATCCTGCTTTGCAGTAATACAGTCTATTTATGGTTGCCTCAGAAGTTCACTCATACTTCAACTACTGGAGTATGTCACCACTTTATAAATGAGAGTGATATCAGCAAATAAAATAGGTGCCTTATCCTTCCCTGGCACTGGTTTTCTAATCTGAGGTGCAAGGTGTGATGTTAGGCTTAAATTTAAAGGACCTGGGTGACTAAAGATGGCTATGAGGGGTACAGGACAAAAGGACAGAAGCATCAAGCCCTGGACCCTTAATTAACAAAACACAAATGGACTGAATTTCACAGGGTTGGGGCATTTTGGTGCTGAATAGTAGTAGTAACTCTGGAACTGCTAAACGCAAATAGTGTACAACTTTGGCCATTACATTAAAAAAAACCCCACTTTTCAGAATTTCTCTTTTAGAGAAGGTCAAAATTAATTAATCCTGTCAAGATATGTTAAACTAAAATCTTCAGATACTTTCAAGGTATGTCATTACATATTTCCCAATTCATAAGTCAAAACCTGGAAATTAAAATAGTGTGTCTTTATTGATAGTCTGCCACAAATTAATGCATAAACTTAGTTAGCCAAAAATGTATCTGCCATCTGAACATGGCAAGCATATCTGCAAAAAGTGGATGCTTTCTTCTAGTAGATAATCAGATGTTCTGTTACCAGCTCTCACTATAGTGCCGAATGCAATTAAAGAATTGTTTTACAAAGCTGCCTGACGCTCAGCAGAATCACTGTCTCTTCATTATTGCAAGGACACGGAGATGTATACTTGAATGTTAAGCCTTCACTGACATTAGTGGGACTCATTTGTCTCTCAGGTGAGCTTGCACACCATGTTTGCAGGATTGGAGTTTATGACTACAAAAGCAGTGACAAGGGGGACAAGAACAGACGCACTACAATAGGCATTCCAACAATTCAATGCATCCATCTTACTGAAGGAAATCATATCTTTACATACCACTGAATGTTAAAAACAAACAAAGAAGTTTAAGCACAAAGTATATATTTATAACAAATAAAACAACTGAAAAAGTATTACATAAAGAAAAAATAATGTAACAGAATGTACTTAAGTACCTAGCTTACAGTCATGCTCGTATCTAAAAATAACATTGGTAAGTAATATATATAATTTTGGACATAATTCTCTAACATACGAAATGATTCTGTGATTCTAAATGTGGAGAGTACTTTTTCCAAGATACAGAACACAAATTATTTTACACAGGCACACCTGTTAATTTGTATAAAAAAACATGCTTGTAAGTGAAAAGGTCACTGTAGTACTAATTTACCATGTAGTGTTAATCATGTTGAAATTGTCTCTTCTCCTTTTGCATTGGTGAGCGCCAACACTGAATGGTACAATATTTGATCCATGTGGTTTACTGACACTGCAACCTGTTTCCAAGCAGTAGCCCTGCCCGGGTGTTAACAGCACAGTACTGTACAGCCCCATCTGTCTGCATATAGTGTATTTATAACTAAAAGCTATTACAATTATTACAATGATTTCTGTTTCAATATATACAACAGTATAAAATACTACCCAAAAAACTTTTGTATTTCAAACAATTTTAACCACTTCATCAAACAATGCATTTGCAGAATTAAAAAAAAAAAAATAACCCAAATTAATGCTGATTGCCAACAGTACAGCATCTCTATGGTATGTTTCCTAATAAATGAGAGAACGGAAGTGTCTTATAATCAATTAAAATAAGTATCACAAAACATAATTAATGTTAGAGCAGTTCAAGGATTCCCAGTTTGTCAGTATCTACCCTAAGCAGTGCTACTCAAATACAGTATAAGCCATTTAGTGTTTCTATGATGAGAATAAAACATTCAAATATTAAAGCTGCGACAAACACACAAAAGCAAGGAAAGAAAATTTGTTCTGTACTCATTTCTGTTGGAGCAAGGTACAGCACATCAGGAGTTTGCACTCGGTGCATCATATCTGGTTGTGTGTACAGACTGAGGAATGAGAGGCTGGAGAGCAGTGCTGCAGAAAGGGACTGGGGTGTCCTGGCCCATGGCAAGCTGAACATGAGTCAGCAGTGCCCTGGTAGCCAGGAGGGCCAAGTGTGTCCTGGGGGGGCATCAGGCAAAGCATTGCCAGCCGGTCGAGGGAGGGGATTGTCCCGCTCTGCTCTGCACTGGGGAGGGCCTCACCTTCAACATTGTTTGCCATTTTGGGCACCACAATATAAAACAGATATTAAGCTCTTAGAGAGCAAGGGCCACAAGGATGGTGAAGGGACTGGAAGAGAAGCCTTATGAGGAATGGCTGAGGTCACTTGGTTTGTTCAGTTTGGAGGAGACTGAGGAGAGACCTCACTATAGTCTTCAGCATCCTCATGAGGGGAAGTAGAGAGACAGGTACTGATCTCCTCACTCTCATGACCAGTGACAGAACACAAAGGCCTGAAGTTGTGTCAGGGGAGGTTTAGGTTAGATATCAGGAAAAGTTTCTTCATGCACAGGTTTCCCAGGGAAGTGGTCACAGCATCAAGCCTGTCTGAGTTCAAGAAGCATTTGGACAATGCTCTCAGGCATATGATGTGATTTTTGGGGTGTCCTGTGCAGGGCCAAGAGTTGGACTTCATGATCTTGATGGGTCCCTTCCTACTCAGTATATTCTATCGTTCTGTATGAGCTACGATACCTGGATACAACTGTGGAAGACAACTGAAATGGAATAAACTCTGACTTTCCTTGCTGTTGTGGTTTTATGTCAGACCATTCAAGTTATAACAACTTAGTGTCCTTTTTTTTCCTCTCCTGAAGGGAGTGAGAGAGAAGAATTCATAATAAAGTTGCAAAAATGCTACTAAAATCCCTATCTTGGACACAATACACTGCTTTAGGAGCTACTGTGTCATTGCACGATATAAGTGGCCTATTTATCGCTGAAGTATTGGTGTAGCAGAATATATTTGTCATTGTGGATGTGTTTTAAAAATTAGTATTTTAAAACTTGCTTGTATCCCATAACAACCCACAAAATTTTGTGTTTTTCAAACACTAATATCCTTACGTAAAATAGTAAGTTTGCATTTATAGTGGCAAATTTCAAATCTCTGCCTCTGCTGCTCCAGTTTTTAAAATGAACTTGGTTCAGAGTTTTCGTTCTTTACATCATCCTAAAACAGAACTATTTCTGAAGCATAACAAAAAATCCAAATGGCAATGATAATATCTGGGGGTTTTTTTGTCTGTTTTGCTGATTCATTCCTAACTTGAAAAATAATCAACGTCTTAAAAAGCAAAACAATAAAACCCCAAAAATCTCTCCTCAGGAATAGTCCCTGCTAAGTGAGATTTTTTTTTTTTCAAAACCAAGTTACACGCCTAGAGTATCTTTATAGTCATGTTATACACCCTTGAAAATAAAGGCTGTTGAGAATGGTGACAGGCCCTTAATTATAGAGGTGTTAACTGGTGACACTTTTTCATCAGAAAAAGCCCAAAAGCCCCACAAAAATTCATAGCTTATATTGAAAGTTTGATTCATGCTCATTTTGTTCATTTAAAAATACTCTTTGGAAACTTGTGTCAACTCCTGCAGACAACTTAGTGATACATCTTTTCCTGTTAAAATAAAGATAATTCATATTCACCTCTACCCCATGCTAAGCTCTACTACTAATATACACTTCATTACCTGCTCATGTCACCCTCTAACACATATCTTTACATTCTTCTACATATAGTGTCCAGGGCTTATTTTTCACCAAACAGAATTTGATAACTATTACACTTAGAAGTTTTAATTGAGGATTTTTTGGTGTTCTAGCCTTTTCATTGCAATGCACAGTGACATTAATGGTTCAGACGTTTTGTCCATGCTAACTTGAGAGGAATTTTTCACCAATTTTTTCCCATTAAGGATTTTAAAATCTAAACTCAGAGATCAAAACTGAAAACCAGAAGAGAGATTAGATGCATGTAATTTTAAAATGGTTTCTGCTACTTTAAAATGCATTTAAAAATTGTACATACAACACAGTATTTTAACTTTTACATTGCTGTTATCAGATTCTAATTCAAAATCTTGCAAATATACACGAAAAATAAGCCACTGGTCATAAATTCTAATGATTACATTCAAAACTAGCCTTTAAAAAAATAAAAAAGTTACAGGCAAAACATACTGGTTTATGTACTCACTAGCTTATCAGGCTACAATAGGCATGTTTTAAGTATAAAAAAGCAGACAATTCAGATTTAAATAAGACTGTGTGAAATCAGAAAAACCCCTTAGATTTCACTATTAAAAAAAAACCCAAGAACACCTATAATTACTTCCCATCCTACAGCTACAGTTAAACCAACTAACAAAAATAATCAAAGTATTGATGACAAACAAAAGTTAGGCTAGAGTATGTGGCAACAATCAAAGTTCATATACGTTTCTATGTAAAATGACTCATGATTTACTATAACATATGAAGAAGAGCACTTCGTGACTAATGAAAGAGCTACTAGTAGAAACACTTAATGCCAAACAGTCTTCAGCCATCCTTTAAGTTGTATCTCCAAATCAGTATTGACTTCTTTTGACCAGATACATCATTTTTGGCTTGTCACCCGAGTATGTCATGTTTTACCACTTGTCACAGGCAGCAGTAGACAACTAGCTAAGCAAACTACAAGCAGTGACATGCAGAAATTAACTCTCAAATCTGAGTACTTAGATAAAATGATATGCAAGCGCACACTAGGACAGAAGGAATGGCATTCGTCATCCAAATAGGCTCATCATCCCTCCCCACCCCCCTTGAACAGTAGTTGCAACAGCAATAGAAAAAAATCAAGATGTCTGTTCTTCAGAGTCAACTGTGGAAAAAAGTCAGCAATATATAACAGCAGCGATGGACAAGGAAGAGCAAACTGAAAGAATCTTGTTGAATATTTGTTCATTTACTTTTTCTGAACACAAGCCAAAGTGTGCCACACTGGCTTGTTCTGAACTTCAGATACAGATGTCCTAATCTCCTTAGATCCTTCACAGATTTAGAATTCAGTCTCCCTGAGGCCCCTATAACCAAGTAAGAAAACTCTCTTTATCTAGCTTGGTGGCTGCCAAGACAGATTCCATGTCATTAAGGATGTCAGAGCTCAAAGCCTCTTGCAGACTTGGCATCAGTTCTTCTCCTTCTATATTCATCCCATCTCCTTCCAGTGTCCCAAGGTCCACATTTGTCCCTGGAATGGCTTCAAGGTAGTCTGGGAAACGGTTCTGATGGGATGGTATGTTACTTTGGCCGATACTGTCACCTAGTTATAACACAAAGTAAGATGGATATTAAATATACTGGAAGTACCAAACCTATAATTAAACAGGACAACTGGTTAAAGGTTAATCATGTGTCTCTTGCATTATACAAACAATGTGATTCACAGAAATCCATCACAAAACCCAAAGGTAACTTGAATGCACGTAGGTGTACAAAGAACATGTCTTTGTTTCAAATTTTCATCTATGCAACCCAGATCTCTACAGATCTTTGATGTCATTTAGCATAATCTGATTTTTACACTTAAAGGAAAAAGACAATACTGAATCAAACACAGTTTTGGAGTAGTATTAACAACACTGGAGGAGATATTATTCTTAGCTCTGAACAAAAAATATACTTTAAAAAGCAAATTCCTTATAACACACTCAAATTCCTTATAACAAGAGTGATACTGTTTATGAGCAATCTCCCATCCTTCCAATACAGTTGATTATCAATACGTTTTTTACAAATCTAACCATAACATTTCTACTACAGAAATAGGGGAAATAGAAAAAATAGAAAAAGGTAGAAAAACAATGCAAAAAGTATCACAGCTTCTCGGAGTTAACTGTTTTCATTGCAAATGGATACAAGTATATTAGGAAAACATGCATTAAAAATGAACACAAAACCAGACCTGTATCCATCTCATCAACACTGTTCAGGAAGTCATCTGGGGTTCTGGGTACACTGTAACTGCTCATGCTAAGTCCACTATCTGTGCTTTCATCTCTGGAGTGATATGTTCCACTGCAACAGAAGAAAGAGAAAAAAAATGAGGGTTTTTGAAGAAAAACAGAGGATTATAGAGGAAAATAAAATAGATGCTTGTTTTCAACCAATTCAAGGGCTTTGCAAACATTACTGTCCTGAGAAATGCTCTACTGTGATAAAAAAACCGAAGCCTTTGTCTGGGTGGGACACCTGGGTTGTACTTTATGCAGACCTTTTCCAATTAAAACCATATTATTTAGATTCAATTTAACTTGATGAGAGCATATTCAAGCAGCTTTAAGAAACTGCCTACTTGTGTTCTGCATAATTTTAATATTTTCACACCCACCCACCCAGAGCTAAAACCATTGGAAGCATATGAGATAGTCTGTAATGATTATAAAAATATTAATAATAATGATGGTTCATCCTTTCAGGCTTCCATAAGGATAACAAAAAAATATTTCTAACTACTAATGTCCTCATGTTTAATCAACCACTGAAGTATATTTTTAGGTCACTGCTGTTATAAATAGTTGGAACTCCTTTAGCTATTCTTCAGTTGCTTCCCACTGCTGCATTACTACTTGTTCAGTCACACGTCAAGGCAATGGAGTGCCCTAATATAAATCAAATACTAGTACAGAAGCTGTCCTGTAAACAAACCCGCTCAGAATGATCCTGTTGACAGAACGGTTAACCAAACTAATGGCATGGGGCCTTACATGCACTCACTTTCTTACTGCCATCTTACTGTCAGCACAGTGAGCAAAACCAAGAAAGCCACAGTGGGAAATTTGGGATGGGGTGGGGAAGCTGGCCAGTGTATTGAGTTTACATAGCAAGGTTTTGGTAGCAAGGGGTCTGCAGGGATGTACCCTGTGAGAAGGCACCAGGAGCTGATTCGATGTCTGACCCAGCTGGTTCCAGCTGGCTCCAAAGTGGTCCAACTGCCCAAAGCTGAGCCCAACAGTGACAGTGGTGGTACCTTTGTGATAACATATTTTTTTTAAAAAAAGAGTAAAAATGCTGAACAGATGGGAGAGAGGAGAGGAGAGGAGTGAGAATATGTGAGAGAAACAGCCCTGCAGGCACCAAGGTCAGTGCAGAAGGAGGGGGAGCAGGTGCTCCAGATGCCAGAGCACAGATTTCCCCTGCAGCCCAAGGTGCAGACCATGGTGAAGCAGCTGTGCTCCTGCAGCCCATGGAGGTAACATGATGGAGCAGAGATCCACCTGCAGCCCCTGGAGGACCCTGTGTTGGAGCAGGGGGGCACGCCTTGAAGGAAGCTGTAGTCCATGGAGAGGCCAAGTAAGAGCAGGCTCCTGGCAAGAGCTCCAGCCTGTGGAGAGGAGCCCATGCCAGAGGAGGTTTGATGGCAGGAGCAGTGGCCTGCATAAGCAGTTGCAGGAGCACACTGCTACCTCCCTTCCCCTGCATTTCCTAATATCCAGTCTTTTCACAAAATATTTTCAAAATCTATATTTCTTCAGGTTGTGGTAGCATTCACTGAGAATCCTTACTGATTTTCAGCCTGCATACTAAATGAAGATCAACTTGATTTATTGTTCAAATTAGCATCTGAAGACATACTGATATTTCTCATAATGTGCTTGTGAAGTATATAGTATATGTCTTTTTATTAAGAATGAAGAACCAAAATGGTGATGAACAGCTATTCAACATTGGATGCCAGTAGAATGCCATTAGACATATATATGTATTAGATTTCATGAGGACATCTTTACCATACAAGAAAGAAACCTAACATTTCTTTACAGTTAAATCATAAATACTTCTCTTTTTTTAGATTGATTTAAGAATAGAATCACCACACATTTGACACAATCCTAATAAATAAACTATTTAAAACTTCTGTGAAAAAAGATGCTGGTTTACTTTATGGGACAAAATACTAAAAACAGAACTGAGGCAATGCTGAACTAAATCACTTTAGTGGAGAAGGCTTTTTGGCTGCTGCTCTCACACTTGGAATGTCCAGCACTTCTCTTCAAATCACTCCTTAATATACATTTCCTCTCTCTTCCACAAGGATTTCTTCATTTAGTAGTCATACCACCCAAAATTACCACATTGAACTAAACAGCATTACCCAAAATAGAGTGGATTCTTCTTCAACTAATAACTATTAAAATATGTGTATACAAAAGAAGAAATACCAATTTAGGAGTTAAACAGAGAATTACCATCACTACCAATATAAATCTAGCAGACAAAAATATATGAACAGCGTGGTAAATCAAAAGGTGAAATAGTCTAATAAAATCTGCACTGTTGAATGACCCATTCAAAAAAATCAAATATGCCACAATGACAGGAAGTACTGAAGATAGCAGGCAGAAGATTAGACTATGTACGTGAAAACACTACTGCATGTTTTCTCAAATTGCTCCAGTGTACTCATTATTTTCTGAGATTTTTTTTTTTAATGTTTCTATTATACAAGCACTGGACTACCTAAACTTTGGATATCCAAGTTCAGGGCCTAAAACTAGGACCTAGGCCTAAAATTAGTTCACCAGGAACTTTATATACAGCCTATAAAGACAGAACAAAGTATTTCCCTAAGTCTGAACTTTAACATAAGGAATATCAACAAGAACTTTAGAGCAAAACTATTGGACTGCTGTATCTAATTCAGGACAGCAAAGCATTTTCACAAATGTCCTTTCTTAAAAATCCCTTTCCCATACCCATATGATAGAATTAAATGAGGTGATGCACATAAAATAACCTAGAAGGAGACAATGCTCAGATCAAAATGCAAATTAAAATATTCTGAACTCAAGTCAAGTACACATTTTTAATATTTTGTGTGGAGTAAGGGCTACAAAAAAAGCCCACAAACCCAGTCAAACCTATATGCAACTAGGCAAGCAGTATCTTTTTGCACTTTACAGTAAATATCAACCTGCCATGAAATTACAAAACATGAATTTGCCCTTTCTAGCTTTTGTCCTGTTTGTAGCTAATGGCAAAGATCCATCACTTTGTATTTCATGTGTGTAGACTCACAATGGATAAACTGCATCAGCCCATTGCTGTGGCCATTTGAAACCTGAAGAAGTTTTTTTTTCAGAAAACAGGTTTTGAAGATGTGAGGACCTGTACGTATGATGGCAACAGCCTTCCAGAAATTCAAGCTAGTATGTTACTAGAACACATCAAGACCATCATCTGTCTACTGAGCCTTCTCAGGAGAGCAGGTCAGGTTTAACATTTCTTGTCCTTTCTATACTTTAGGACAAGACCAGCACAGCTGCAGCTCACACAAGACCCCAGGATGAATTCCATAGAGGATAAACCGTCCCTCTAACAAAAAATTAAGTTTTCTAGTCATATTTATCTGTGTAGGAGATAAATTTTCCTGAGGGGCTACCCAAAATACAGACATCATTCATCTCAAGCTCCAGCAGTTTTTCCAAAGTTGTAATGTTTAGTATGAAGCATTTACAAGCTGTAATTTGAACAATATTTCCAGCATAACAAACACTCCAACTCAGAGGGATTAAGGAAAAAGTTATATTAAAAACTAGTGTATACTGTAAAATTCTAATTCTAAAATACCCACTTCAAAATAATACAGCGTTTAAAATGAAACATGCCACTATTTGCAAACCTAACATTAAGAGAGTAAAAATACTGCTAAATACTTGAAGTGGAAGGAAGGGGTGAATGGAGAAACTTTAAAATTAACCTCAAGGTGTAGTCCTAAATGTGCCTCACAGTTCATTTGATCTCACAGCGAGCTATTCACAAATTCTTTGAGTCAGTAATTTGAAATGACTGTTAGTCAACAGATTATGCAGAGACAAACATGTTATGACTTTGAATAAAAACCTTCCTACAAGTCTGAACAGACTACTTCCTCCCACAGGAGACAGCTTTTAATCCTCAACTTTTACTAGACTTGCCATTTAAGGAAAGATTCATTTACAGCTGTGGCTCTTGGCACAGACAGATGTTCAAAATAAACTATTACATGTACCAAACAGAATTTTAAATCAAATTTTTTTCCTCTAGTAGCTACTCCTACAAACCTGTTAAGAAAGGGATCAGAACTATTTGTAGTCATTGTTCTCAGTTCCTGAGACATTCCAGGAGATGACACGGGGTTTTGCGATCCACCGTCTTGTTCCATTGTTGGAAGCTGGCTACGGAGAGCCAATTCCTAGAACAGCAGGAGGGGGGGAAAAAGAGAGATCATGTTAGGCATTTGAATGCACTTTTCAGATACACGGATACATGACATTATAGATAATTGATGCTTTTACTGCTTCCAGTTACAAGAGTTAAATGAAATTAAGTTTCTGAGGACAAAGCAAGAATCTGTCCTGGCTTCAATGACAATGCAAGTTCCCCAAATCATGCCCAACATTACAGAGACTGCACTGAAAATGTATTTATGGATACAAATATCTGTATATTTACATAAATATTTTCTAATTCATTTCAATATCTTTTTGCTAAGTATATTCTTAAGATCAAGAAAAGAATTGCTAATACTATCTGACCCCAAATATATGTCTGTCTACCTCTACTGATTAGCACTTTCCCCCTGTTTCTCTTAAATTCTGATTCACTCCCTGGTTTCCTTTGTACCTTTCTTGTTTCAAGGCTTCCCCATTCACTCTTCCTGTTTGAGGCATGTATTTTGAAATTTCTGACTGGTCAAATCAATTTGATTTGTCCCAGCAATAAATCCCAAAGCTCTTTAATCCCCAGTAATTTCTTCATAAAACTTAAGACACTGCTATTCTGAAGTTACAAACCTAGATTACATATACATTTTTACACATCTGACTGTTCACCAGCTTGAATCAAACCATCCATAAAGCCTGTCATTAGTAATTAATGAAAATAAGTTTTAACATAAAATACATTAAATTAAAGGTGGATGGAGATAAGCAGCACTTTATGCAATTTCCAGTGATCCCTCTCCCCCTTTTTAAACAAGTAATCAATGAGTTAAACATGTGAAAGAAAAAATAATTTTCTTCAAGCAACTCTCCTAAAACATCATCAATGGCTCACCATGACTGAGCTTTGTTAATGTAAAGACTGGTAAATAAATCTTTTGACTATCTTGTTACCATTATTAGTAGTATGTCATTTCCAGGTTGTGCCTGGAAAGATAACCTCAAGCAAAACCAATCTTGCCATTTTGACAGTACTCAATATTTCTCACTTGTAAAGTGAAAGATCTTCATCCATTCTCAATGACAAGCCTAAGGACTACTGTACTGTACACTTTTAAAATATAAAAAATAACCTTTCTCCAATTCTTCTAGTGTTTTCTTTTAAAAAAAGTTTAAGGTTATTTTATTTTCCAGCAGACTGTGCTGGAATACTTCCCTCCTGCCTGTTTTTTTTTAACTTTTCTCATCTGCATATGCTTCACTCCCATTCCTGCTGATTATTATTACATATCCCTTTAATACCAAGTTTTATGTCTTGCACTAGAAGATTTTCTCGCTACACTTGATTAGGTCTTTGCAGAAAGTGTACAAACATATCACTGGTTTTTGTGTTCATCACATCCAACTTCCTACTTCAAGTAAATCCAGTCCCCTGCTTACCACCACTTACTTTGCCACTGTTCTAACAAATAGTAACAATACTCCTTCCTCATTTTCAGATCACATGATGCTAGGCACCTTTTAATAATTTATAAAGGTTTATCCATATAATTTTCATTTGCTTATGTACTAAACCCAAGTTGAAAGCCTATATAATGAGGTCTTACTTTACAGCTAAGTATACAAACTTGTATCAGTCACAAATTACCTGATATACAGGTAGACTAAATCCATTTAGAAAAAAAACCAATAAGTTTTCGTTCCTGGAATGCTTCCTAAACAGTGATCTGAAGAAGGCAGAAGGTCTTAAAACAGCCATCCCAGAGATGGTTCACTCACATGCTTTGTCCTTTTCCCCTTCCCTCTTGGTTTGATCTGTACATTGCATCTTTATTTCCTTGAGCTGCAGTCCCTGACTAGGATGAAGAGGAGGAGCCAAAACTGCAGAAGCAGCTTAATCATACACCAGTGCCACAAAGAGTAGTAAAAAAGCAAAACCAACATGGACTCGTTTTTGTATACGAAGCATGAAAGTGACATTGTATCTCATTGTGTGGTAGGCCTGGTCTTTCCAATCAGCACTGCCTCCTGACTTAATAGTTGAGAGAGTGAGAAAAAGAGAGAAGAGGAAATCCATACATGTCCCCTTTTCAAGAGCTACTGACAACAGGAAAGAAAAAAGCCACAAATTCTTTTCTGTTTACCACATTTCACTGAAGACCCACTAAAAAGAGTTGTATTAAGCCAGGAGAGACAATTGTATTTTGCCTATTCTTTGGTATGTACAATGTAGTCCAACTAGTATTTTTAAAATTAGTACTACTTTTACCCTTGTTTCAACAACACTGCTAAAAATGCAAAACTACAACTATTTTTAACTATTTATAAGTAGCATTAGTGATACTTATTTAGAAGTCAGAAGCACTTTCCCCTTGAAAGAATGTTATTACATTAGTCATTTAAGTAATACACTTATGTCATTCTGGAAGTCTGAAAGAGAAAGGAGTTACCCAAAAAGATGGACTACTCAGAAACAAATACAGAGTAATTTTAAATCATTATGTAAGATAAGCAGTTTCCTACAAGCCCTAAAGAATGTATTAAGACTATTTTTCCTAAAAGGTCCACGTAATGGAAACTGAAGTTGTGTTGCTTGAAGAATGGTCTTTTCATTTCTCTGTCTTTATAAAACTGATTTGCAATAAAAAAACTTACGCTTCCTAAATGTAAAAAAATGTATGGAAGGGTACAAGCCTCTCCCAGCTCCAAACAGAGCAATGTGAACTCTAGGCTTTTAGTTCATGCTTTAAAATATATCCTTTATTAGAAGTATTTAAAGTCTGGAGGCAAAAATAAAACCATGACAAAATCCTGGCTTAGATTTCTATAACCTGATCTCATCCTATTTTTGTAAGTATGTCAAACTTTTTTTAAGTACCTCTGGGAAAAGAAAAGATTAATACCTATTGGTAACACAAAAGTTGAATTTTTGTTATTACAAAAAACCCAAAATGATCTGTCTCATCTCCTTAAATAATTTTAAAAATAAGGTCAGCACTGTGTAGTTTATCTGGCTGACCTTATCAATGTCTTTTTTGTCATAATTGCATACAGATTAAATTTTACATGCAGTTCCAGGTCATTCACACCATGTCCAAAGTAACTTTATAAAAATACCTTTTTCAGAGCATTTTTATCTTCATGTCCTTTTCAGGAAAGGCAGACGACTCCCTTGTGCAACTCACTTATCATATTCTTACTGTGTCAAACATATGATACGCTACTCAATTTGAATTAAAATATGCTTTTAATTGGTTTTATAAATTTACTTTAAGAGTGCCAATTGTAACATTTCTGCCCCCAACCACTGCTCCACTGCTTGACTATCAAATTATCCACAAGCTTCCCTGGCATGGGAGAGAAGTTTTAGGGGAAGGACAAGACCACAACACTTATGGACACACTTACAGCACCAGTTTCTTCCTCGTATTAACTGTCTGCATTCTTGTGACGGCCACAGAGTTACAGCACATATACAAAAGAAATAGGGAAGACACACAGACAGATGAAGACAAATAAACTCAGCAATGATGAGTTATGCAATTTGTGAAGAGTAAGGGGAAAACATACCATTCAGTGTTGCAACTGTGAAAATCAGCAAAATTAATTTAAGAGGTGATACTCACAGAGTGATAATTAATTCTATTGTATACACCTAGAAAAGAACTCAACGCTATGTAGAGCATGACAAGCGCAGATAGGGCAGCATAAAATGGAATAGCTTCTTGTCTGGTTTTGCAGACCTTTGCTGTGCCCCTGCTTCATATTCCTCTTGAGTATAAAGCCATTGCTTTATACCCTCTTAGTATCTATATCTACTCCTGGCTCCACAGCACTACACCTGCACTGCTGAAGTGTCTCAGAGCTCTGTAAGGAAGGTACCTGTCAGCAGGAGTAAGCAATCAGGAAGGCCATGCACAGCTGAATGGCCTCCCTCTACTGCTTATTATTCACAGCCATCTCATACTCGGTCAACAGGACTTGTATCTTTTGCTGCCCAATTGCTTTAGCAGTACTTCTGTGATTAAGTTTTGCAACTGCAAGCAGCACTGGTGACTACAAGAAACCCTCTGCAGAGAGCTACAACTCCTATACAGACACAAAATGTGTCCTGAAGCAATGAGAGGCATTGGCAATGAAGGTAGTTCTGGTTTACTCTACAGACTTTAAGACAAGGTGTTTATCCATAAAGATCTACTTTCAAAGTAAGCAATATAATTATTTTGTTGATCTGTAAAGCTTAGGTGCTGCAAGTCCAATCAACAGCTTCTGAATTTTCAAATTACTAAAATAATACAAATATCTTTCCTACTGGGTATCTTCCAGCTAATGCGGCTCATCTGCTCCTACTTAAACCAACAGTGTGTGAAACTCAAACTCTTGCCACATGAACTAATAAAGTTTCACTCAGATCTGTGGTTTTCAATAACAAATGAAGCTACTCTACTATTTCAGGACCTGAATAACATTTAGAGCATTTAGTTCCCAAGATGGCTGAACAACAGCAAAGTTGCTTTTGCAGTAAAACTATCCGAATTCCACCTTTTGTATACTTTGATGGCAGCCAGCATACACTGCCCCCCAACAAATGCAGCCACATAGGACACCCTTTCAACAACTTAGTCTCAGTCTGCTTATTTATGTCCAATCATGTATTTTAAGCAGTACCTTAGTGCATGCTCATCAGAAATACCAGAAACTTCAACAATAATGTGGTCAAGGAACATCTCCATAATTTCTACAGGACATCACACTTCAAGCTGAAATCCTTGATGCTCTGACAAAACTTTCATATTTATTTCATAGTGTTTAGAAGCAGCAGAGTTTTTTAGTCAGGTCAGAGGAAGATCTCGATTTCTTAATCACTCTGGGTCAACACAGTGGGCAACTCCAAGTGACTTTCTACTGATAGTTACAGATGGCCTTTGACTGCATATTCTTACCCTCCTTTCAGCTGGGAACTAGCATTTGTATGGCCATACACTAAGACAAATCAGAAAACAGATCAAGCTGAAAAATGTTTTTTTCTGACAGATCAGATATTTGATCTGTCTTGCAGTGTGGCCGCACCAATGCTTCAGCTAATAGATTATGCAAAAAGGACATTAAATACATCCTGTTCTGCTGTCTTATTATTAAGGCAATCACTGGCAGACAGCCGAGTTAAACACCTTAAACTGCTGCAGTTCAGTTTGCCAGAGCATGTCTACCAGACCTCTCAGCAAGAAGTAATTTTATTAAGAAGCAAATATTTTGCTTAAAAAAATACCACACAACTCCTCAGCTGCAGTCTTCAGTCCCAGTTTAGGATTGCTCTAGCCAGCTGACTAAGTCTTCCTGTGAATTAATTTTCCAAGTCACGGTACTGTATAGGTGTGCTACCTTATGTGTAAGCTTCATGGTACTCTGTAACAAAGCTCTGTGCAACTGATGCTGAGTAATTGACAGGTACTTCACAGATTATCTGAACTAATCTTTAGCTACCTAAAATACAAGTGCTTTCCTAGAATCAGATGCCTATATAAAGACAGTAAGCTAAGACTTGTTATTACATGCTGAATTTACTGCCGCAATCTAAAGGAATCAGTTCATTAATTGTAAAGATTTTTGGAAGGTAGTCCAGTGAATAACAACAGTTTGTTACCTAATGAAGTCAAATATTCCTGTCAACTAAAGCTTATCAACAGTTCAATGAAAGCTGAGATAAATAAATGCATACAAAGTTGATTTCTGCTTCCTTGGAATCTTATGATATTATATATGCTGCTCGGCTCCCTTATCTTCATGACAGTTCTCTAGTAACTTTTGTTATCGATTTTGGAGAGTACCAACTTTCTGTCCTTGCTCTGTTTCACTGTGCTAAAGAAACATCTACCAAAACTTAAACCACGAGGGATAAAGCAGAACTTAGCACTAGTAAAAAGAGCTATCAAGCAATTAAAACCCAACGAAAGGGTCACAAATAATACCTGAAGTCTTCAGTAAAACTTCCAGCCTCACTAATCATAGAAGTCCAGAGAGTACAGAATTCAAGACTGCACTTGTTTTAAATGACATCTTCCTTTCTTTCTAGAACATGTCCCAAATCTGACAGTAACACAGCTTTGTATTGGTGTGCATGAAAAGTGACTGAAAAAAATTCTTTCTTGTAAAACAATTTATGAGTATTCTAAGAGTTTAATATTTACTTGGAATACTCAAAATCTCAGCTAAGCTGATGAAAGGTGTCAAACATCAATCAAGATGAACTTCTAAAAAAACAGGAACCACAGGAAACTAAAATAACATTTCAAACCCAGTAACTATTCAGTACTGTAAGTGCATATATTTTATGCAGTGCAAACATGAAAAAAAGTATGAAACAAAACCAAGTGGCTCAGCAGAGAGTGACAGACTGGCCGTATGTCTCTGCAGATTCTATACCGAGAAGGGAAATTTACAGGATATCACTCAAAAGTTGATTAGAAATGAGTTTAGGTCAACTGGACAGAGAATATGAGAGGTACTTCATATAATATAAAGGACAAAAGAATGGAAACAATCAACAGAGAGCACATTCCAGGCATACAGAACTACCAAGAAAGCAGCACAGAGGTAATGAAAAGCCAAGCTGGAAAGCACAGCTGAACAGAGTAGCAGGGAAACAGGGCTGTTCTCAGAGATCTCATTTCAGTGCTAGAAACAAGCAGTAGATACAGAATGAGCAAGCATATACATAGGAACCTATCTCATAAATGTCTGTGCTGATATTACTAACAAATATCTTGCTATTAGAAGCAGATAAATAATAATTCTTTCAGTCTTAGCATGAGAAAGTCGTTTGCACATCATCTAAGAATAATGCCATCAGTGCCTTCACATTATTTGCCTCTATTTCTTTCCATCACATACCAGAATCTGTTACTTAATATCTGGCCAATTTTATGACATATACAAAGCTGATTGACATCTGCTGTAGGTGAGACATTGTTGACAACCAGATGCTAACTGTAGAAAAATGGAAGGAGAGCTACTGGGGATGGAGAGAAACTCAAGTCATTCAATCTCTTAACTAAGACAGATAGACATCTATAAAGTTTCATAAATAATTGATAATGAAGAACGTTAAGTAACAGGACAGATGCTTGGTGTTTTCAAATTTCCTGGATGTATTGACAGTTCTTGTTTACACACGATAAGTCTGGAAATTACAGTTTTTGCTACAGATACCTTTGACTTGGATATTTTTAGCATTACAATAAAATCCTCATTCAAACAAGGAGAGTCTCTTACAGTGCTTGCTAAAAACAGATGAAGCTGAGCAATTGTTTACTCCTTCCAGAAGGTGCTAAGGCCTCCATACATAACACCTGGAGTGTTAGTGTCACTACAGTATCACAGCAGAGATAAAAAGTGGTAAAGACACTATACTATGATCAGTCAGTACTAAAAAAACCTGACCATAGACAACAATGCACCCATGGTACTGTATCCAGGATACATGGACAAAAATGTCAAGAAGGAAGAGGATGTTGGACTAGATGACCTCTACCAGTCCCTTCCAACTTATTTGATTCTGTGATTTAGAAAAGCTCAGAGATCCCATTAAAAGTTAAGGACTTTTTATCCATATAAGCCAGATATTTCATTAGAGACAAGCTTTAAGAATGCTGGTGTCACAAAATTTCTTCACAAACAAAAGACTTTAGTCTTCCCAGAATTAAGAGCACTGAACATATGAAGATTTTATTTTCAGTATTCCTTAAGAGAACATCTAAAATTTAGCAAGAGAAGCTATTATTCTGTCACCAAGCACACCTTTATCATCACGAAAGCAGATAATTCCTTCAGACCTCATTAACTTTTTTCAAAAAGAAAGAAAGGATCTGTCAGAAAGAAAAAGTTGACTGAAGAAATGTTCATTCTTTCTACAGACTTTTCACAGATTCACTAGGTCATCTGTGACCTGATTGGATGTACAGATAGCATCATGGGAGAAGACAGACAACAATTGCCTCTATAGTACAAGGCCTCAAGAAGCATTTAGAGAACAATTTCCAGAAGCACTTCTCTAAGCACTTTCTTCCACCTGTGGTTGCTCAATACGTTATTGAGGTGACACACGAAAACACAAAAAATACATTTAGATGATACAACATGAATAATCTAGTATTATAGAACTTATAAGTTGACATGATTGTGTACTTTTCTATCCAACAGATCACTCAAACACACTTTAACTCATTAACAAGTGCAGACTAATAAAACTGATCCCAGGCAGGTGACTATATAGGTGAGCCTGGTATGAAACTAGTTTAAATGTAACAGCAATCCTGATTTTTGCACAAATCCTTTCATCAGTTTCTATCCCAAAGCAGTGACCACTACATAGGTATTTAATGAATTATCAGTATAGGCCCTTTGAGTTTTTGCAGCTTTTTAGGATTTAAAGCCAGAATTTCAAGAAGTTCCAAAAATCTCATCTTATAGAGTTAAGTATGAAACTGATACCAAAGTTCTCCACTCGCTGCATATTTCTGAGTTGGCTACAGAAAGAAGATACTGTGGAAGAATGAACAATGGTATGACAGGGCTCCAAGTATACAAGATAACATAGAATATGCTTTTGGGATTCAGTAAGAAAAACATCCCTCCTGAATCCTTCTGAACGACCTAATTATGCCAGAAGATAAGGTGTTTCCAACTGGTGTGGAGGAGTGTCCTCCTTTGTTTATTCTCTTGTATATCCACAATTCTTTAGGATTTTTTTTCTCCTCTAGAATAGTATCTAATATTGATTGCCAAGATCATTATGTGGTTAATGGTCTGTAAAGGAATCAAGTTATTACATCTCAATTAAAATGCTTCAGTTTAAGAACTGCTCTGGTATTGCCAAGCAAAGTATTTATTCCAGGATGTCAGCACTATTTCTAAGGTCTGAGGTTCCTCTTCTCCGAACTAGTAACATACAAATTTTGTGGTATGCAATAGTACACCATGGCTTCCAAACACAGGATACTTTCTTTTATTCTGCTTTTCCTGCCTAGTGCATACAGTTGTTCTTAAAACACAAAGTACAATACAAGCCAATATAAATATTGTACTAAGAACTAACAGATTAAGAATACTGTTAGCACCAGCAAACGTGAAGTTCTCTGAATATACATATAAATCACCCTTTCAGAGATTCATTCCACATTCAACTTCTTTAGAAACTAAAAGAAGATCACATTAATCTGTTTATTATGCTTCACATTTTGAACAATTTTGTTTTGGTCTGAACTTGAAAGGCTTTTCTGAATTGTTCCTATTTGGAAAATGTACCTGTGAAAGAGCCTGCTAAATGTCAAAATGGAATAGTTACATATTATGTATTATATAATTGCATAGCAATTATTTTGTTAGTCTAATCTATTAAGTAATTCTGTTACCTCTGCATGTTTAAAAATCATAAATATTTCAAGTGACTTTTTATTAACTGATTACAGATATCCTTCTTTAAGATCATACCTGTTTAAACAAACCGATAAGAACATTCATATGAACAGTACTTAAAAGTCACTAACTACTACCTCAGATAGTTTCTTTTAAATACACATCTTGATGACAATGGGACTGGAATAACAGTATCCTCAAGAATGCTAAACAAGAAGGTTGTTTTCAATGTAGAAAAATGTGCAATGAATTCCTCATTTGCTCTTAAATATTGATATAAAGTTGTGGTAATGCAGCACTCTTAAAAAACAGTGTTTAGGGTCACGACCAGAAAAGTAGTTCAAAAATTCGCATGGCAGAGCTCGGTTTTGTTTGTATGTTTTTTCTGTTCTTAGAATGCCTTCATGTAGCAAAAAGTTCCCTGCTAGCCTAATTTAATGCTTTCATTTTTCTAATTATGCTGAAACATCAGTTAAGAGCCTACCTGATGTTTTGGAGAATTTGCTGTGCTGGGATTGATATTCCGCAATGCCTAAGAGTAAAAATAAGATGGATAAAAATTACTTTAGCTGCATGGTTTACCTATGCAGGCTGTCTTACAAACACCATCTTGTAGTATCAAGCCCCCAAGACAGGCCAGATGAGACAGGATAAGGGAGTTAAGAAACTATAAAAATCATGACACAGTGAAACAAAACTCACAGATTTACCAAGGATGAGTATTTGACAGATAAGCTTAACGACTAGAGAGAACAACATGAAGAAAACTGGCTGTCACCTGGTCCAAAGTTAGTCAGGTTCTCAATGACAACTGAGGCAAGAAGACAATTAGAAGGCCTACCTAGAAGCATGCTAGCGCAGGGTAAAATGTTTGTTGGTGGATTAATTGCAAAGCAGGAACAGCAGAAGCCCAGGTGCTTAAGCAGAGAGAAAGTCCTGATACCACCTTTGCAATGTATTCTTACCTAGAGTACTATAAAAAGTAACGGCTGTAAAGATGACCCATCTTACACCAAGAGATGCTGAAGATTCCTACAAAACAGGCCTTGACTACAAAGGGGATAACGGGAGTCAGAATCCAGGACAGAATACTGCAGGTGATGAAGAAAGAGAAAAGCTGTCTTTGAGGACATTAAGATATTATCCTCTTCTGATACAAGGCCCATCACCCAAAGTGAAAAGGATAAGATTTTAGAAGGTTTTCCTCAAAGAAAAGATTAGTGCTTTCTCTGGCAGTGTCAAAACCCCAAAGAATACCCTAGGTATCTAGCACAGATGGTAGCAACTCTTAAAACATTCAGATGGAAAAATCGAAGCAGAAGGCTTAGAGTCAAAAGGAGGTCAAGACCGAATTCAACATCCAGAGACTGGAAAGTCTAGTCCTACACTTTAACATCTGCTACAGCTATATTCATACAGTAGAAAAATACTGAAAAGAATAGCTTGTAGCCTAATTATGAAGTTTGAAGTTCTTCAGCATAAGAGAACCATGGGTTCAAAACACAGCAGTGATTCAGTTGTTCCATGCTCACTCCACTGTTGAACAGGCAAGATTTTGGCAACAAGGTGTCCCCCTTAATGAATCTTATATGAACTTTAAAAATACTTCAAAATATTGCAGACTACAACAGGTTCTAAAACTGAAGACTTTCTTCCACTTAAAAGGGAAAACCAAAGCAGCTGTGGGAACCAACTTTTTGCCTTTTACATGACTTGGAACTCAATGAATATGAAATATATCCTCAAGAGGAATATCCAATCACATCAACAGTCCATGTTGTCATCCTTTTTGGTTTATGAAACCTGTTCTCAGAGAATTCTTTTAGAGGGAGGAATGAGGAAGGAAAGCAAAATCCTTCAGTCTGATAAGTCAGACATTTTCACTACCAAGCTGGTATAAGTAAGAGCATAAATTCAGACCTTTCTAGGTCTCAAAGCTTTTTGTACAGTCACAGGTCTTTAAGACTCACTGAAACAACAACTTAGCCAAATCAAAACATAACATACAAAAGAAATAGTGGAAGTAGGTGTCTAACCTGTGGCCTCACCTGCCGAAGCAGTTCTTGATGCTTCAGTCTCAGCCTTTCTTTCTCCATCTGTAGCTGCTGAAGTCTCATCTGTTGCTGCTGATTGGAGCTACTCCCACCCATCACACCACCCTGAGGACTCTGAGGAGCCAGAGGAGGTGGCTGTTTCACTGGAGCACTTTGGCTGATTCGCTGATTCATGGCTAAGGAACCAAAACAATAAACATTTAAAATGAAACTCAAATAAATACAGGTAAGGAAAGTATTATCCATAAAAGGCATATAGTAAAAAATTTATATGACAAGCCATGACAGTGCAAAACATGCAGTTACACTGATGTTCAAAGTGTGAAATGTATGCTCACATGTGTGAGCAATCAACGTGTGTAAAATTAACATAATAGTCTCCTGTTTAAGAATGCATACTTGTTCGAAAAGCTTCTGAGAACAGTTAAATATATAAGCTGGTGAAAAATTCAAAAGTGGTAGTAAAATATTTCAAGTCGAATTACAAGGATCTCTCTTCTTTCTAATAAACTATTCTCACTTTAGACACGAATAGTATAACTTTTTTTATTCATGTGAAATCTTAGAATCATTAAACTCAAGAACACAGAGAATGACAATGGTCATCATACTTATACTGAACTACATCTAGTTAAAGGTTAATTTAAGTGGAAGTTAAATTCTTCCCACTGCAGTGCAGGTCATGCAACAAGCATTCACATCCATGTCACATCAAGCTTTTAGTGTTACAGACTTTATTTAGAGCTTTTTGACAGGCAAAATTAGAGCTGGTACAAAAATGGCAGATGAATTATACAGCCATAACTACTGACATCAACATAGGAAAGATTTTGCTTCATTTTCTTTTACCCCACAGCAGTATGCAATGCATCTTTTCTCGGGAGCGGAGAAGAAAAAGTGTCACTTCCTATGCCTAATGGACAATGAGAACCCATCTTCCCCCATAAAATCAAGGTCTAAGACAATTTTATTTTATAAAATAATGCATGACTGGGATGCATCTACCTGACAGGCCGGATTTCTCCCTCATAAGATACCAGTATGGTTAAAGTCAATGGAGGGACTAGAGTTCCCATAGCAAAACATAGGGCTGGGAAAGGCTGACTGTATTGCAAGGACAACATTTTCAAGGGCTTTCAGTTTTGGAATTAACTCTCCATTGTGTTTTCTGTAATAGCCTGAATCTGTTAACATTCACAAAATGCTACAGAATAAAGCAGTGATAGGAGAATGGTAGAGGTTTATATTTTTTTCTGGGAATGAGGATTATAGTTTATAGAAACATAGAAAAAAAAAGGAGAGAGCTTCTTTTAGGATGACAGGGTGATTTGGGGCAAAGAAAACCATCTGTTGAATTAGTTTGATTAAATGTTCTCCTCATATAGAGAATTTCTGGAACACTAACACTTATAACTGCCATAAGAAAGGACAACTATCTCATAAAGAATCGGTATCAACTTTTCACTGAAAAGCCCTTCAGTCTCCACTGTCCATAAGCCTTGCTCCCTTTTTCCCTTGCCACAGCTCACCTTTCCATTGGGAGGTAATATATGAAGAACAAATGCCATATACTAACTGGAGTGATAACAGAAAGTCAAAAAAAAAAAGACTAAACCAGTTACAGACTCAACTCTTCAGTCCAACTTTCAACTAATCCACTGGTCTAGCACAGAGTCAACAGTCTAATGGGCAGATGGGGCACATTTTCATGAGTCACGTCAAAATTAAATGGTGTCAAATAGCTTGAAGTAATTTGAAATAATATTTTATGCGGTTACTAGTGAGAGAGTTTCATACATATGATCACTAATAAGATAAAACTTCCTGTAAAGGTAAGCGAACCAGTGAAGTAGGAATAGAAACTGAATTCCAATGCCAAGCAGAAACAACAAAAAGAATACCAAGGGCCAGAGGTTCAACTCTAACCCACGAGTCCCATCCTTATCCAGCATGGACGAGACACACAGCATCACTTCCCCATCAGAACTGAACTTTAGGAAGAAGTTGACCAGAATCAGCTAATTAACCAGATATCCTATACAAGTTGTGGTCTCTAAGGCAGCAACAGGAAGACTGGTCCCAAGACACTGGAAAATGTTAAGCAGAAGTTCAAACAGCTTCAACAGCTGTCCTGTAAGGATGTGGGCAGCGAACTTTTAATTACATGCTCCAGGATCTCCACTGGGCACTGTTTGCTGGAAGACTGACAGCAATTAAGACTACCTACAGTTACCAAATCAGGGCAAAGTTGAAGATAGAGAAAGCAATGCAAAAAGAAATGCAGCCCATCTAGCAGTTCTAGACAAGCTAGACATGACATTGCTGGAATGGGGAACATATGTCCTTCTTTCTCTCTTTTCAAGTCTGGAACCAGGACCATGCCTTTTGCTTTATATATCTTACCCTCTTTCAACTTAAAAGCAGTAATGAAGGAGTTAGTAGGGAACAACAGAAAACAACAGCCTTCTCCTGCTGTTAGTTAATTCTGCAACTCCATCTGAAGTCTGTGCTACCCTTCAGAAGTTCCGGGATTCAAACCCTGTTATTAAACAAGATGGAAGGTCAGTTACAGTAGAAAGCCATGAGGGAAGAAAGTTTGAAAATTACAATCACCAGAAAGAAGTACATCTAAGTTAAAAGCAGACTACCTAGTTTGTAAAAATTAAGTAACCAAAGCTGAAAAAACGTCAATTTCTTTTGGTTAAAAAGGCTGCCTTTGCGGTTTAGTCCCCAAAGATATAATCATATCTTGGTTTTGGAGGTTTTGGAGTCCTGCCTCAATGTATTCACAGCCAAGGCATATTACAGATAACCTCATAAAAATTTAAGTGCCTAACCTTAAACACTTAAGTGCAGTATCAGTAACATTCCTTCAATATGTTATGATTTTGTTTTTCCTGAATGCACTATACAAGTATTATTTCCCTAGGTCTCTTTTCCACGAATAGGTAGTTTTGTAAATAATTTCCTGCTCATGCCAAATGCTTCATATTTTACATAAGTGTATCTTTCTGACAGCTGCATGTATTATTCCTGTTCTCTCTGACCACTGTTTGCTCCATTCTTCTCATCTACTGACTTCACAACAAAAACTATAAGAAAGAAATCATGTTTCTCTGATATTTTTTGTTTTAATCCCTCATCCTAGATCCCCAAAATGCCTTCTAATGTCTATTTTTAAAGTAAATTTGTAGCTGAAAGCGTATCTAAAACTGGAATATCATAAGATACTGAGACTTTGGTGTGTACTTAATATTCATCAATAAATATTAGAGGAAAACTTAATGAGATGATTTGGCAACTCTTCGGAAACTGAACCTATAATTCCAGTTTCTAAATTATTATTGATCAGGTCTCCATTAAAAGGATGTTTCTGAACATTTTATTATTTCAAGAATGAAAATGCAAGACTTCAAACTGATAAAACTTTAAACTGTCCTCAGAACAGATCATGGAGATGTTTTTTATATGAGTGAACTATTTTTAACCCCGAATATAAACTAAAAGTCAGGATATTAAAAGAAGATGCAGTTAACTGAATTTCATTGATTTAACATATCCAAGTGAAGAACCAGTGACCAAAAACCCAGCAGTAATTACACTCAGTGATTTTCAGCCACCTTGGTGATAAGAAGAATGTAATTTTTATCATTTCCAATACAATACTTAATGAAAAGAGAGGAAACATATCTTGTTTCAATGGTAGTGAAAAAAGAGGGGTTTAAAGCTTTTTGTTGTTGTTTTGAAGTTGTTGTTTTGTTTGTTTATTTGTTTGTTTCGTGGGTGGTTTGGTTTTTTTTTTTTTACATTCTCAATTCTCCATTACTTACCACGGATGCAACTGCAGAGATCTGCACTCTAAAGAACATGCTTATCAATGTGATCTCAGATAAGGACATTTTATTTTTTCCACATCTCATGGGTCTGTGATGATGCTGACACGCACAGCTCTTTTTAAGTACTTTGAATTCAAAGGTAAAGAGCTTCATTTTATCTATTAGCTAGGACTTACCAGTTTTCTAATGCATCCTGTTCCTTATGTTCCATGGAAAGCATTTAAATAAGGGGCTCTGCACCCACACAGCGGAGGCTGCAAAGACCTCACAGGCAGAGCAGGAACAAACAAGTCTTTCTTTCTAGAAGAGGGGGATTTGAGGGAGGAGGGGCAGACAAGTTAAAAAACACAGGCAACTTAAGACAATAAAAAAGATCTTGTAGTCCTATAATATGGCTTAGTTTCACAATCTGCAGGATATAGTCAATTGTAAGTGCTGCAATATGCTTTCAAGAATAGAAAATGAGTGGTCTTCAAATGCTACACATTAAATGTTCTTCTACTGTCCAAACTCAACAGCAAAAATGCCTCTTCTGTACTGCAGCAGATACTACCTGACAGTTATTGAAAACAAGTTTAGACTGCTGTCTAAATGATAAAGACCACATGAAAAATAAAAAAGAAACAAACAAACAAAACTCAAAAACCAAAACCAAGAGGGAGAAACTATTACCAGGCATTGGTGCTAGAGAAAAAAGGCCAGCAGCTTGTTAACAACTGAAACATAAAAGGCTAATTCTCTCTCAAGATCCTACGTCAATTGAAAATGGCAAGTCCCAGGGCTGTGACAGCTTGCAGTAACACTTTCTTTGCCCTATGGAGAATCCCATGCAGAGATTACACCCTTAATGATTAATAGGCACAGTTGAATGTTTGATTTTTTTTTAATTTCGTTATAATTTCACCCTTCAAAGCTAAACCTAATTTTAATCTGCAAAATTAAAGACATTATTTAGTTGAACAAACAACAACAAAAAAGCTCAGAATTTTAGCATACTATAACTGGCTGTCCTTAGTATTAAGAATTAATGTTTTCACTGGGGGAACTAAAAAAGAGAACTCGTCCACTTCAGTTTCATTTAGGAACCAGATACCATTTTTGTCATTGTGCATAATTTTTGGCTATGGTCAGGGTTTTACATGGTGTTAGTTTGCAACTACAACAAAGGCAAAAAATTCTCTTTGATTACATTTAAAAGAGCTGTGAAGAAAAAAAATTACAAGCAGGATTTGAAAGAGTGAGCCTCAGAAGTAATAAAAACATGTTCCAAGTGACTTTTTAAGAGAGACTTGGTACAACAATTTGTTATTTAATCAAGATATAAGTAATGTTTCTGGGTT